AATTATATTAATATTCATATACGAAATATTCTATGACTACTTAATTAATATCCGTACATGATTCAAATCTCGTTCCACGAAAATTTCTATATTTTCCTTATTATTTGTTTGGTGTTCGAAAATAATTTTCACATTTTTTTCTAATGTTTTAATTATAGACGATCCGGCGTAACCGGATATTAAAATTTTTCAATTTTGCTTTTCAAGAAATTTACTTCATTCCCGTTTTACCCTCGACCAACCCTTTCGACATGGAAACACGAGCGCGCTCGACTTAATGCAGAGTGCAATATATCATATTCCCAGATGTGTAGGAGGAATATTGTTCCTGCGACACGCATAATCATACTAATTATAATGATTTAACGCGCGCGTTATTAAATTCGCCCAATTCAAGAAACGACCCTTAATATTAACGCGATGGAAGGCTGTACATCACTGACAAGTCTGAATTCCCAGAATTCGTTATCAATCTTCTTCTAACGCGAATATTCCTGCACAAGAATTGCCTTCATGGTAAATTTCCAATTTTCAGTCATATTTTTAAATCTACAATCTATGTATCAATGTATTGTATATTTTAAAAAATTTTTAATCTCAGAAACTTTCAGCAAATTTATGATATCAATTTTAGCCTTGTGTAATTTTTAATTTTATTGTTGTATTTTATTATGATATCAAGTATTTTGATATATTGAACGTATATGAACACAAGATGCATTTATCAATTTAAGTATTTTTTTATGATAAATTTTTATATTTATATTTTTGCATTTTTTAAAATCTGACGTATTTAATAGCTCTAATTAATACTCATGATCTAAACTTTACATTTGTATTTGTAAATGGAATTATATAATAATATAATATAATGTATTCTTCTTTATTTTATAATGAATTAATAATACTAATTTATTAAATTAAATGCATCAGTATAATTTATAATTATATCCCTCCACAATATATTAATGGCATTGTGAGCTCGATAGCAAAAGCTCCGAATAAATTCGATCAAACATTAAGGCGAATTAATATCCTTCCCTTTTCGTACCTTTTAGATTCCGGCCGGATCTCGCCTGCTGGACCTTATCTCATCTGCCAGCATTCCCGGCTGCGATAATAGAACCCGTAAACGCGTCTGACTTAATACAAGAGTGCGATATATCTCGAGACCGCGAGGTGCACTACTGTTCTACTGGGCGGAAACGGAAGCACGGGAGTGCGCGAAAATGCACACAAGCGCAATGTATAAATAAAGGTCGTTACAGAGAATCTCGCCTATGAAAGCGTCTGAATATATATTTGAAGATATGATAATTTTCAAATAAGAGAGAGAGAGAGAGAGAGAAATAAAAAAGAAAACATGCAAAATTTATTATATTCTCCTCTATATAAATAATCTCATTTTCACTGATTTATACAATTGTTGTCTCTCTCAATTTCGCTCCGCGCAATATATATTCCTGTTTCTAGTTCCAGGAATAATAAAGCGATTTTTCCCTTCTCTTTTCCCTATTGCCCCCGTTTCCTTTTATCCTCTTCGATTTTCGCGGAAACGAGCGCCGTGTGCTGATGTTGTTCGAAATCGAGATTAAGGAAAGCGACCAAGAGAAGGCTTTCGCGGGCTGAATTTATTTTTCTCCCCTCTTGAATCATTCAGCGGCAACAATAAGGTTGCGAGATTACGACCGACGGAAATTTATCTCCGTCACGCGTTATGACGAAAGGGAATTTCTCCATCTCTAATAAACTCTTTTTCCCCCCTAGCTATATCGCACCTGTCCCGTCGATGGAAAATGTTATTATTAATATTTTGTCTTGTCAAATCGAACATATTGTAGAATTATTTCGAGATACTTGGTATGTCCAAATATCGTTGCCGATTCTCTGCGATTTATCGCCAATCGTGTTTTACTGATAACATATTGATAGCTATTAGATAAACACGTATTTAATGATTAAATCAATACTGGAAAAAAAGACTCGTTGATCTAACTAACTAATTGTTACAGTCGATTATGTAATTTCATTTATTTTCATTATATATTTTTACTGCAATATATAATTTTAGTTTCACTTCAATCTTTCGTTGTATATAATTTTAAGTTTACTTCTAATTTGAAAATAAGTAGAAATTTGCGCTAGTCTCGTGAGCATCTCACGTAAATCCGTCTTTACGTACTGACAAGAGACAAGGCCGCAATTAGGGGGTTGTGTGCTCGTGTCGAAGGGATGGCACCCCGACCTCGGAACATGTAACGTGTCCGCTCGTACACGCTCTTTCGAAGTGCGGTGAATTCTTTTTTTTTTTTTCCCCTCCGCCTTTCGCATGTACACGGCGCTGATATACTACTCGTGCTACTAAGGTCAATCCCGGCGTTAAACGAGCCTTATCCCGTTCGCGGTCGCGAAATTTAGCACTTCGTAGAAAAAAACCACTGACTCGGCTTCAGCAGCCTCTCCTTTTCCCGTTCACACGCAAAATCGTCGCCAATATTTCCAGCTTTTTAGCTGTTTTATTTATTCGATTTGCGTGACTGTAATTTATCGATGAAATAAAGTCTAAATGTCAATTAATTCAAATTTTAGAAAATCTGTACCAAATAAAGAATATGTTTTATATATTTTATAAATATTGGTCGATGTTATTTTTTTGTGTTACAATAATTAAAGGGGCAAAAAAATTAATTTAATATGCAGATTTTCTTTTATCAAAAGTAGAGAAAGTCTCGAAATTATTTGTTACAATTATGATGTGTTCGAATTAATTATTTAAATTATAAAATTGAGATTATAAAAAAATTTTTTCATATCACTATATTCAGTATTGTACAATATTCAATTGCAATTTTCTCTACTTTGATAGAAAGATCAAACACGAGATAGAAAGATGAATATCGTACCATAACGTTCCACTATTTCGCATAGAATTCAACGAATGCGAAGCCGAGTATTGATTTGAACCATCACGATGAATAACATTTGAAAATATTCCCACGTTTCTATTACATTTTTAGAACGAAATGCATTCCGCAAAAACCTCAAAGGATCAAAGGCTAGGATTTTGCAATGATAACCGCAACTATCGCGATGAATAATATTTGAACTAAAAAGATGTTCGTTTTTTCGACGCGAAAAAGAATTTTCTCTCTCTACTTCTAATTACGACGATGACGAAAAAGCGTGTATTTTAAGTTCAGCAAATCCTTCTTTCATCCAGAGGCGAAGAAACGAAAACACGCTTATTTCTTTGTCGTTGAATGAATCTAGGAGATTCTTTTCGTTCGCTTCTTTCAAAATAAGGATACAATGTATGCACGTTTTTCATTTCCGCCGGAAGAATGCAATAAAATTTATTTTCCCAGTGAGTAATATTCTTACTCTTTGTGCGACTGATGATTCGCACGTGATGTTCCCTAACATTCCTTTTTATTCATTGCAATTATATGGTCAGTAATTAATCCCCAGCTTCGTAATATGCTTAATAAAAGTCACAAAGAATATTTGCTAAGCGTCTCTGAGGAGAAACTATTATGCAAAATGTCCTAGAAAACTTATACATATTTTATATCATATAAAACAAATATATTATAATATCATATATATTTTTATAAAATATAAAATATAAAACTTTCATAAAATTTAAAAAAATTTCTCCGTTTCGAAAAATGATGAAAGAATTAATTGCAAAAAGAATTTAGTAATACTAGGATTTAAAAATAAATATTGTATAGATTTTCCGGTACATCTTGTATATTTTATATGCAAAGAGCGAAATTCATTTTGCTATGTTATTAAAACAAACAATGGAATTACAACGATCAAATACGCCAATAGATGTATGTAATTAACAAAATTTATAGATACGTATTTCACATTTTTAACTGGGACTAATTACAAATTTTAATTAATCTGCCTCAATAATACGGACGATTATGAAACAGTACAACACAGAGATAGAATGATCAATGATACTCTGTTAATCTTATCAAAGCCATTAAATGCAATTTATCGCTAATTGAACGAGCGTTGCAACAAAATGACCGAGTGGCATCACGTGCTATATTCAAACCCACGGGAATAAATGAGAAACACTTTTAGCACGAATTCTGTCGCCAGTGACGTTCCGCCAAAAGTTCACCGTCACCGACGCACAATTAAAACTTGGTAACAGGAATGTCGCCAATTTCTACTTTGAGTTTCCGCGTGATATTTGCCTTCCTTGCGGCTTGTCTCCTGGGCGATATAATTCCTTCGGAGGATCCGCGGAATGCTCTCTCCTCCGTCTGTCGGTAACCGATGTCGCGGTTTACCGAAAGAATTCGAGTGGCAATGTTAGGCATCTTCGTAGTACACGAGAGAAAGCCTGACGTCCCGAATCTTCCCGATGAAACGAGACAAAGGGCGAGCGAAGAGGGATCCCGGATTCTTTCGCGTCTTCACGACGATCCCGGAGCTTAATTAAAGAGGATTTAAGAGCGAAATATGAGACGAAAGCTTTTCCCGACTCTTCGCGGAATCTCTCTTCCCGCAAGCGAAAAGCATACCTCGAAATTCACACCACGGCGAATCCGAGACGATTCTCGCACTCGTGTCTGTACCGAAGGACACAAGGAGAAATATAAATATCTTGTCGGTAAATTTTAAAGATAACTTTAAATTAAAAAATATCCTATAATAAAAATCGAATTTCTTCTGGTCGTATCTCGATAACTGTTGAATCAGATCTGATATAATATTTTTCGTTTAAAATTATCTTTCTTAACTACCTGACATTTTCAATGCATTCGCAAATCGTGTGTAATTGTGCTTCATATTATAATTCAAAAAATTGTATAGCAAGTGTAATAATAATGATGTATGTAACTATCTCATATATAACTTCTGGAATTTTTATGGAAAGCTGTTTTTATATAAATGTACGAAAGGATATATTGTGTCTCAATAAATATATAAATGTCTCGCAATAAATGTAAAAAAAATATTTAAAAAATACTCACCTGTACTCCTCCAGCTCCCACGATGAACAAAAGCTGAACCATGAAGAGAGCTGCCAAAAGATTCATCAGAGTTGTGCCTGCCAGGCTCCTCAAGTCGGAGAAGAGGCTGCAACATAAATCCATCAAATTAATTAGTAAAAAAGACGCAAAAATAATTTTTATTTTTTAATCATTTTCATTTTTTTAATTACAAAACTTGTAATTAAAAGATGATCCGTGTTTCAATTTAGATTAAAAAGTAGTTTATCACTTTTAAAAAATTACTAGGGTAAGAAAACCTGGCTTATATAGAATATATCGAATCCTTTTGTGCGGGTTCAATAATAAAGGATCATAAATAATAGTACGGTTGCCCGACAGCGCGCTGTATTATTCTCGCTAGAATGATAACGTAATATAAAGAGTAGTCGGGGATATGAGGGCGAACGTAATACATTATGTTCGGGCGACAACACTCGTTCATGGAAGAGATATCGCGATATCGCACAAGTCGAATATTCAGCAACGAACTTCGTAAGAGAGTTCGCGCAGAGAAATAAATTTAATAATCGCAAATAGTACATTTTGCCAGCAAAAGGATACCACTACTAATACCAAAAGATTAAATCGATCCTCATCAGTTCAAAGAAACTCGTAATTTAATCTCAAAAAATTTTGTGGCATTTCTGACAAAAAAAAAAAAATACACAATATAAAAAATTTATTTTAAGTTTATCTATTTCGACTCTTTCAAATCTGTAATTTAATAATATTGACTGAATGATTCCAGATTTATGTTTTCATCTTTCTCAGTGCGTCAAGAACACTATTCTAATTAATGCAGAAGTTAAAACCATGTCGCTCCCTTATTTAACTGAAATCGGAGCACAAGCTAGGCGCGACGAAAACTGTGGGTGGTCTTAAATTATGGATTTGTCCCGCTTTCCGGTTGCCTACAATTAAGCGTCGCGAACCGTTCGTGCAATCGTCCTCGTGAATATATAAATTCCCCTGTTCCGTGAATAATTCATAAATCGTCGTCGCCGAACGGCTTCTCGCAGCGTGAGATGGCCGTCCTCCACACCGTTGGCGAAGATGAAGGGACGATCGTAACACAGGAAAGTTATGAACAAAAAAAGACTATTTTGTTTCCATTTCAAAGATGAGGCAAAGGCGAAGCATCCCGGTCAAAGAACGGCTACCGCGGAAAAATTTGATTAATAATAAAGCAGAACAAAGACAAGAATAACGAGATTAGCCCGTATCCGAGAGGTATTGTACTTGAAAAATCGCCGTAAGAATCATCGGACAAATGCACGCAATTTCTACCTGAACCGTGACAATTCGATATCTTAGGAAAAATTAAAAAAAGAAGGAAAGAGATATACATTTAAAGAGGAAAAGTTGTAAACTTTTTAAAGAGATATTTAAAAAGAATTGCAATCATTTCGCGACTTTACGATATTGATCCAGGTTTGTTACATAAATACGTGATTTAGAACTTTGTACAATTATAATAATATTTATATCGGTGCTTCGATTTGAAAGCTTCATTAAACATAAATGCAACGATTTTACGAAAATTGTGCAATTATGCGAATAATTGCGTTATGATCATATCCTATGGAATTTTTAATCATAAATCCAATCGAGAGCAAATTCAATGAATTAATATTAATTGGTTTTATAACAAACGCTTGATTAATATTTTTACCGAGAATGAATTCGCACGTGTAAATTGTCAGCTAACAGGGATTAATCAATTCTATTTATTATATATTTGTACACATATAACATTATATAATATATATGTATACGTTACGTTGTATATTGTTACGTTGGGAAAAGTATATGATTCACTTAGCATCCGCGCTTTTTTGAAACGCAACGATAAACATATGACTGCACATTAATGTGATGAAAAATATACAGATCTCGCGAATTTGTTTGATTTATTTGCCAATTGCATAGAATCGATATTCCGCTTATGCAGAGGAAACATCGGTATGCCTTTTTCTAGGTCATCCGATGGAAGCGAGAAGCATAAAACCACCTTGTGTACACATATATAGTACATGTATATATATGTACCTGGTACATCACAATGAAAGAATAACTTCCCCGTGCGATCTGTCCTTTCTTTATTAAAATTCTTTAACCAAGAGAAATCCGCGGAATTCATATTGAAATCGCAGTCTTTGAATCTGCCGTATTCGCAGCTTCCCATCACAATTGCTCCCTCATATTTTTGCACGTGATATTTACATGTACAAGGCAACGACGATAAATAAAAAAACATGAAACAGTACGAACAATGAAAACAACTAATAATTAACGAATGAATAAAAATAACTAGTAAAAACAAACTCGTTAAGAGTGATATACAATAGTTATTGTAGATTTTAAAAAATTGATAAAAAATATAATACTTATATTAAATTAAGGAAAAAATGTATAACAAGAAAATAATATCAATTACGATATGATATTAATTAAACTTGGCAAAAATCAATGTATTCATATTAAAAATAAATTAAAAACAGGAGCATTAACGATCATCGTACGCGATTAGTAATTATTAATCATTGTACATATTACATCTAGTATTATCACTGTTTAATGTTATAATTATACATGATCGAGTGAATTTAATAACATGTGTATATAATATCAACGAGATATCGCAAATGTATGGGACTCGAGGCGGTTTTGACTAAAACGGCAATGAAAAGAGTAATGATCCGTTTCCTCAACCTTCGCGAATGTCGGCGCTTTTTTCCTCTGCGTCCGGCATTGAAAGTTTCATCATTTTATGAATTATTCACGAGGGTGGACGCGAAACGAGATCGCGCGTAGAATTCACTATAGAAACAGCCGAAACCCATCTCTCCGTGGATTTTCCCAGACTTTATAACCGCCTTTTTTTTCTTGTCCTTTAACGAGAGTCATCACACTAAATTCGATTATCTCATAGCGGGCATCTTCTTTGTATATAATTATCTGACGGGTCGTCCGTTTATCTTATCTCCTATCAATCGCAAATTTAATTCCAAAGTTTAGAAGAAATTACGTTCCGGGACAAAATGTTATTTGGATTATCAATACTCGCGCGAGGTAACGATGTCAGTCCCTAAGGAAAATTTATTTCGATTTAATTCTGCATTAAAGAAAATATATGTATGTGTGTTTGTGTGTGTTAAATAAATGTAACTATTAGTTTTTGCTTTTAGTAATGTATAAATAATTTATGAGTAGCGTGGAAAAAAAATAAAAATTTCACTATCGATTTTTTGTTGCATGTATTTTTCAATTTCTTGTCTGTGTAAATTTAAAAAGATATAAATTACTTTAGTATTTTTAGTCTTAAATCATACGCGAATAGACATGATGACGTTTAAAGAATATTTCGGGATATCTACCGAGCTGTATCTTGAAAGTTACGCAATAAACGTCTGATATCTCGAAGGACGACGGTACCATTAAGGGCGTTGTCGCTGATAAGCAGTGACGCCACGTCGCGATTTATCAAGGTTCTGACAGCCACGATCGGAACCTACGGATATTTCGCGTCTTCGTTAAATCTGATGACGTCGTGTAAGAGCTTTTAATCTTAATTCTAAATCTTAATCGCGTTCAACTTTCAACTTTTAATTCCATATATTGCGCGATATAATTATAGCTCGCAGATAAATGTTTTGACAACTAAATCGAGTTTTGAACTTTACTCAAGTCAAATTCCTATTATGGCAAAATCTTCTTTCAATTATCCCGATATCGTAGTTTCCCGTATATCCGTAAAACTCGATTAGTCTATATATAATCTAATTTTTCCTTTAAAATATTATATTTATCTCTCATTATCACTTGCGAATCTAATTTAGACTTGCAGAATATGGCGCGGACATCAAGTCTTCATCACAGTGGCAATATCAGCTTCGAGAAACTAACGATAAGCCGGACTTATAGGAGTTACCCAACAACTTTGCGCCCGAAATTTCTCGTGCTCGTCCTTCTCTCGAAGGGAGAGCACGACTTTTCGAAGGTTATATCGCGGATCTCGACTGACACGAAACTTTCTCCTCCCTTGTCTGACGTTTTTCCCACGGTTAATTATATATATTTACTCGCCTCGTGTTTGTGTGATGTATAAGCTCGTGTACTTAACAATAAGTCAGAATTATTAATTCGATAAAAGTGCTATAACAAATATTTGCCCGCGATATAATTCCGACAAATTTATTAACGGTCTTTACTCCGTTATAGATCTCTTTCGTTTATAATTTGCCATATGGTAAAGATAATACTAAGAAATATTTTTAAAATCCAGAAATACATGAATACTTTTCGCGAATTCCCATCTTGTCAACAACTCTATCAAATAACAGCCAAAGCTAAAAGCTAACGAGGCAGCTATCGGAAGTATTATCGGATATCGATAGCAAGAGCCACTGTAATCACATATTCAAGACAGTTCAATCAGATTTTCGATAAAGGGTACCGTCAGCGAAATTCGAGAGATCGTCAGCTTGAATTACCTCGTCTTCACGAGGCTGTGTTTAAATCGAAATGCCAGCCTGTCGATAGAAATTGCACGTCAAACTAGACAGCGGAATAGACGAGGGTGTTATAGAATCAAGATAGTCTCGAAACTTTGCCGAAAAATTTTTGGCAACCACAGTTCCTTATATCCTCGTTTTTTAAATAACATATGTTTATTTTCATTAATATATATATATATA